TAAAACACACACACACACACACAGAGAGACACAGACACACGCACACATGCACAGGTTTGTTTGCACAAAATATGCTAATGAGGCTAAGATGCATGCCCCAGGCCAGCTGCCTTACAAATGTGTCAGGGAAAAGAGGCCCGGGAAGAGTGTTGGAAAATCAACAAGGACGGGAATTGGGAAAAGATGAGAAGACTCCTGACATGTGCAGCGGCCATCCCACTGTCAGCATCCTCCGGGAGAGGAAGCAGTGTCCTGTAGCAGGGACCCTAAATGCCTCTGCCAGCCCCACTGAAGACAGCTTCTCAGCATCTCTGTGGACTTTTCATTTGTGACGTACAAAGCTTGGATCTGGTTTGTTTACTGTTTTTACAAGACTCTGTTTTCAAACTGAACTTTAAAATCATGTCTGTCCGTGTTGCATGACGTAACCAGAGAACACTCAGATTGCTGTAGTGTCAGAGGTCTGGTTATATAACGGATATTTTATAAACCCAACAAAAGCCCTCAGGGCACATCAGAGGGGGATGCTGCCTTCTCTGGGCTGAAGTCACTTGGCATGGAGTGCATCTGTAAAGACTCCTAAGGTGTGGTAATATCTGTGACTCATGAATTGTCCTTTCTCTCTGTGCAGATTACATGATTTCCAGGATTCATCAGCTCCAAGAGCCTGACCTCATTTGTTTACTGCACAAAGCAGCATTACAGTAAATACCATGCTTATTAAGGCAAATTGGCAGGAGCCACTTGCCAGAAATGACCAAAGGAGGGGGAGGCCAAAACATTAAGAATCATTAATGAAAGGATGCATTTACACAGGGCAATGGAAAAGCTAAGGCTGCTTTGCCCAGAATCCTCAGAAAACAGCAATATTGGGTTCACAGAGCCCTGGAAGCAACTGGCCCTCAGTGTCCTGAGGAAGGTTGGCCACAGGCATCCAGAGGGTACCACGACTACTGAGCGGGAGAGAGCAAGGAGGCTGTAGAAGCAGGCCAGCAGCCAGGTGGGCAAGAAGCTAGGTCAGGAGAGTGAATCAGGGGGGTAACTCAGTCAACCGGCTACTACCCCAAGCCTCTATAAAACGAGATCTGTGAATTTCACAATCCATGTTTTTATTTTGGTGCGGTATGGAGTGTGTGCAGTGGGAAAGAGTGCAGGGAGCAAGCTGACCTGGCCATCACCCCCCTCCTCATGGGTGTGGGTTAGCTAACAACCTCTGCCCATCTCAGGTCCCCCCTCTCCCCCCGATGCCTGGAAGCAGAGACTGGTTCCCAACAAGCAGTCAGGATCAGCTCAGGGTAGATCCAGCATTTCTAACTGTGTCCATTTCCTCTAAGGAAGAGCATCTGGGATATATCCACTGCTAGCAGGTCCATAAGCAGCCAGCATCTCACACTCCTCCACATGCCGGACATGCTGCTTGGGATAAAAATGTCCACTCCCTTGGACCATCTTACAGGAAAGCTTCAGAGCAGAGGCGATGCAAGACTTCCTCGGGGCATGAGAGGAGGCTTGCTGAGATCGAGATCAAGGATGCCAAAGGAAGGTGTGTGCACAGCACAGGAGCTGGAGGAGCAGACTGCAGCTGCTTGCAGCACCTTGCTTTCACCCCAGCTCCCACAGCAAATAAAGATCTTCTGGGCCTATAAATGAAAGGGTGCAGAAAGCAGGCCCCTCTGAGGATCAGCCAGGAGTGGCGCACCTCTGGCCATGGGCAACTCTGTGACCTTGGACATATCCGTGTTTGGTAGTCATCTCTGGCCTCCCTTCAGGGACATTTCACCCCTGACCCCACCTTGCTCCTTCCTCTCCAGCCGAACTGCACGACCCACCTAGCCAGCACCCACTGTGTAGAGCACAGTCTTCGAAGCATGCTTCCCAAAACTCCATAACACTCACCATTTCTTTTTGAGTTACTGTCTTAGCTAGGGTTACTATTGCTGTGGTGAAACACCATGACCAAAAGCAACTTGGGGAGGAAAGGATTTATTTGGCTTACATAGCTTGGATCACAGTCCACTGTGGGAAGCCAAGGCAGGAACTCAAATTGGATGGGAACCTGGAGGCAGGAGCTGATGCACAGGCCATGAAGGGCTGCTGCTTACTGGCTTGCTCAGGCTGCTTTCTTATAGAACCCAGGACCACCAGCCCAGAGGACGGCTCCACCCACCATGGGCTGTACCCTCTCCCATCAATCACTAATTAAGACAATGCCTTACAGGTCTGCTTAGAGCCCGACCTTATGGAGGTATTTTCTCAAAGAGGAAAACACTGCCGACTCCAGCTTCCATCAACACCAGCCAGCAGTGCCATCAGATTGTGCCTGCCTTCCAGAGCTTTCTGCAACTTGGAAGAGATACCCAGAAAGGAATACAGCTTGGATGATATAGTTTTGGGCCAAATGGATACTTTGAGGCCTGAGACCACAGAGAGCTGAGAATCGGAGCCATTACTGCAGCGGGAAAGCGGCTGCTTTTATTTCTCCTTTGTTTGGGGAAGTGTGCGGTTGAGGAGATACCGCCAATTTGCCCTTAACTGTGCTTTCCTGTATCTTTCCCTTGAGCCTCATCCCGATCTGTTCAACCATCAGTGTACCTTTCATGTGCTAAGAAAATATACTGTACATGAGGTCATGTCCACGTGAGACCACACAAAAGGATCTATTAGGTATTCTTTTAGGTTGGTATTCTTTTTTTCTTTCAAATATTTATTTATTATGTATACAATATTCAGTCTGTGTGTGTTTGCAGACCAGAAGAGGGCAGCAGACCTCGTTACAGATGATTGTGAGCCACCATGTGGTTGCCGGGAATTGAACTCATGACCTTTGGAAGAGCAGGCAATGCTCTTAATCACTGAGCCATCTCTCCAGCCCTAGGTTGGTATTCTTGTTGGGAGAAAGATGTCCTCTAGGAGACCTAGATGTCGTCACACATCTGGACGAGTTATTCTACTCCTGACTGTCAGACTGTCTTGACTGTCAGCATCCTGTCTTTGCTAATGATAAAGTCCGGAAGATCCCAGACCTTAGTTTTAGAATGTTTTAGCTGTGTGTATGTCCTGAGTGCAGCATGATGTTTAAGAGTATGGGTCCCTCCCTACCCACTGAAGATCCAGGAGTGTCCCCACTAAGTTGTCAGAAGTACTTGCCACTAAACACCCCAGAATGGTCCCCACTAAACACATAGGAGTGCCATTCATTAACACCCAGAGTACTCCCTCACTAAGCACCCATCCAGGAGTGCTCCCCCACTAAACACCCAGCAGTGTCCCACATTAAATACCCAGGAGTATTCCCAGGAGTGCTCCCCCACTAAACACCCAGCAGTGTTTAAATAATTTAAACACACAGAACAGGTCCCCACCAAATATCCAGGAATAACATTCATTAAACCCCAGGAATGTACCCTCATTAAACACCAGGAGTGCCCCCAATAAATCCCAGAAATACCATTTTAGGTTATGAAGTCTACAAATGCCTCTAAGAGTTGCCAAATTACTCCACTTGAGAATCACAGAGTTAAAGACTACAAAATTGGAGGGATGGCTCAGCAGTTAAGAGCAATTGCTGCTCTTTAAGAAGACTTGGGTTCAGATCCCACGTGGTAGTAGCTCACAGTAATCCTAATTCCAATTCCAGGAAATCCAATGCCCTCTTCTGACCTCCACAAGCACTGCATGCAGGTGGCACACACACATCCATGCAGGCAAAACCCTCACATAAATAAGATAAATCTAAAAGGTAAAATTTAAGAAAAATTACAAACTGAGCTGGGCATTGTGACACATGGCCAATCCCAAGATTATAAAGCCCATAATCCTGTAAAAACTCAAGAGGCAGGAAACCGAAGCAGAAAAATCTCTAGAAAGAAAAAAGAAAGAAAAAAAGAAAAGAAAAAAAATGGTACAATAACCACGCGATACTTGGGGGAATGCACAGCTGTTTTTACAGTAGGGCAATGTTATGCAATTCAGAATTATCCCTGCTCACTTCTGTCTTACTATAAGGTAAACAGCTTCAAAGAAAAAATAATCCTGCAACTAATACAGCATTCAAAAAAAGAGCATTAGGTAAAGCTCCAAACAGAACCCAGACTGGAAGGTATTCCTTCTGCCCTTAGTCATGACAGGCTTTCAAACAACACATGCTTTGGGAAAGAATAAAACCACTTGGGACACATGTGCAGCCTGTCCTAGCAGCTGAGCCAGTAGCAGACAAATCTCAAAGCAAAGATACTTTTTCTTTTAAACATCCACTCTAAACTAAAATAGAGACACAGTGCTAAATCATATCATAGCTTTCAAGCATCTTTTCCAAATTACTGTGGGCCCGAAACAAAAAATAGACGTACAGTCTCTTAGTGGTGCCTACAAAGCAGGAGGTGGCAACAAGACGTCTCGCTGTGTGGACACAGCAGTGACACCAGCAGTGATGACAGAAACCACTGTGCCACATTTCAAGGGGAAAGAAAGCATCGGGATAAGGTCTGACCATAAAAAAATGTGAGGAGATGGGGATTTTTAAAAACCCATTTAAACATTGCACAGTGTGTGGAAAATCAACCTATCCCCTTAATATGCCCAACTTTTATATTTTATATATCGGTTAAAAATTCTATTGTTATGTTTTTAAAATATTCAGCAAATATGGAAGTGCATGTCGCATACGCAGGACAGTTCCTTTTATTCATGGGGCATTCTGGTCTTCTTGTTCCTTACAGAGCCAATAGAATTCCCTAGCCATCTTAAGACAAAGACAAAGCTCCTGAATGGAAAACATCAGGACCTGGGAACCTGGGCCCTTGACCACTCCTCTCTCAGTGGTCAAATAAAATAAATATAAATATTTATTTCTCTCAGTGGTCAAATAAAAATAAAATAAGAATTCAGACCCCCACACACCCAAACTGTTAGAGATGAGTGCAGCCTGCAGCCCTTTAAGCAACCTTCCCCCCCCCCCCCTTTTTTTCTGAGACACAGTTTCTCTGTGTAACAACCCCAGCTGTCCTGGAACTAGTTCTTGTAGATCAGGCTGGCCTTGAACTCACAGAGATCGGCCTACCGCTACCTCTCGGAATGTTGGGATTAAAATCCTGCACTACCACCTCCCGGCCTAAGCAGATGTTTAAACTATTTGTTTTTAACCGCAGGTCATCTCTCTCACCTTCAACCCTTAGATACCTAAACTAGCCCTCTTGGACCTTTTCCAGACAGTGGCTCCCCGAGTGTGGTTTCTGGGGGAGCACTATTGAAAATACAAACTCTAAAATGCAGGGGTTTCATCCCTGACTCAGGGGCTGGGCCCAACCTATTAGAGCAAACGCCGCAGGTGATGTTCTGGAGCCCTTCCGGTCGAGCCTACTGACCTAGGACCGTTTCTACATCGACTACGGGTTATATTTTCAGTCCACAAATCGGGGTTGTAATTCCTATCTCACCATCACTCCACCACAAAGCTTGTACCCACTTGAGTGCTGTCGACGGAGCTGCACTGCACTTCACACCGAAACAAGATCTGCCTCGCTCTCTAAGGAAGCCAAAGGTTGGTTTGCTAGTCTTTTGTCTGTTTTGACTTCCTTGGCTTTTCTCTGGAAAACCTGGAGAAGCTGGGCGCTGGAGGTGAGCGATAGCTGTGGGGGGTAGGGTCCGCATCGCTCTGGTCACCAAGTCCGAATTCAAGTGCAGGGCTCAGCTGAAGAACATGTCCTCCTGCCTCCGTTTCCCTGGGTGACTGCAGAATGCCAAGGAGTTCTAGAGCGCTGGAGGAGACACACCTACTCCCCCTACCCCCAGCCCCAGAGCCGCGGACCCCTCGCCTCAAGCATCCTAGCAACCCGGCTGCAGCGGGTGGCCCGTGAGGGACCAGAGACTATGGAGCCAGCCCACCTGGAGTTGGTAGGAGGTGCAGAGCGGGGACCCTACTCATGAGGGCACGGGAATGGATCTGCTTCCCGTGCCTAGGGACTGAAGGGCGCCTCATCTCAGTGTCCCTGAGGGAGAGGGAGCAGGTCGGTCTAGACCACGCTCGCGGGTGGAAGGTGACGGCTCACCGTGTGGGTCGCTCTTCTCGCGGACGCCGTCCACGCGGCCGTCGGGGTGGATGCGCAGGAAGAAGCCGCCGTTCTTGCAGTAGAGCCGCTTGGGGTCCTTGAAGTGGCCGGGCGGGAAGGCGGCGCCGCCATCCTCGGGCAGTGCGGGAAGCGTGGTGATGCCGCCGGCAGCCATGGCCCCTCCGCGGCCCCGGGACCCCGCTGTGGCTGTTCGCGGGGCTCCCCGGCCCCGACCCCGGCCTCGGCCTCCCAGCGCGCCTCGCCCGCGGGCAGCCAGCCTCCCAGTCCGCGTCCCGCCGCCGCACGCGCAGCCCGGCGCAGGACTCTGCCGGAAGCCGAGAACCCCTGTGTGCCACAGCGGCCCGGGACCGCGTCACCCCAAGTCCCCGCCTGCACCCCAGCCCCACGCGCCCCCGCCCCCCCGCGCCGCCTCCTCCCCACGCCTGGCGCCTGAAAACTGCAAGGAATCTGTCCGGCGCGGAGGAGCTTTCTCTAGGCGACTGCGCTGACGCAGCTCCTAAAGTTTAAATGCAACTTTCTCGCTTGCTTTCTGTCTTTTAATGCGGCGCGGGCCTTCCACCCGCAAAACAGCAGAAAGGGTCTGATCCCGGGAGAGATCGAGTCAGGCTTTGAAAATCTCCAGTCCCCGCACAATGTAAACTGTGGAAAGATAGGGTGCAGGAGATAGAGGCCAAGAAGGGGGCGCCTGGGTTCCCTTTCTGGGCGCCTAGCCCTAGACAGCGTGGGAAGATGAAAACGGCTTCGGAGTTCTCAACACGTAAAAGCGCAGAGCTGGCGCTTGCCCTGTCTCAGTTGTTAGATGTTTCTTGGGAAAAACTGAGTTTCACAAAATTACAGTTAATTGCGGTTGGTGATTTTCAGTAGACCCTAATAGGTTGTAGATTCAGATTCTCTGCACTCTGTATTCGGAAACGAGGTGCTTCTCACCCCTAAGTCCTCTCCTGGGGACACACCTTTCCAGTGAAGGTTGGGGACACACCTTTCCAAATACCAGTTGGAAAAGCTGCACACCGCTAGGTCTATGCTCGAAGCATCTGAGATGTACGGTCCACGGTGGCACAGGTACAGAATACTCCGAGGACTCAGACACAACAGAGTACCCTGCCCTGTGGAAGTGTGGGCTTAGGGAAGCTTCTAGAGGTGCCACTGTATGCTAGCTGTAAAAGGTCATGCTGAAGAGCGTTTAGTCTGCACGGAGGTCTTGACTCAAGTGTGTGACGGGCATTAGAAAATTCCCCAAACCTTTAAGATCACGCCTTTTCCCCAGCAATCAGAGGAGTGTGCGCACGATCGTTTTCCCCTTGCCCCCTGCTAGGCTCATGGCTGAAGCCCCCATGACATGAGACAAATTAACATGAGAAAATTACTAACTTATCTAATGTAAATCTGGAATCCTGAAAAGGAAACAAAAGCCTCATGCTACACAGGAACCTGTGTCTTTGGGTTGGGACTTGTGTATAATTGCGGAGAACAGTGATTGAAGGGAGTGCCACCTAATGGGCATAAGCTGGTGTAGTTATTTTTCATTCTTTTTTTTTATGCATTATTCTTTTGGGGGCTCACAACCCAGCTCCCAAATAATCACGCAGAGACTTATTCTTACCTATGAATGCCCCACTTTAGCGTGGCTTGTTTCTAGCCAGCTTTAACAACGTTTTGTCTTGGGCTTTTTGCCTCTCTTTATTCTCTCTATCTTGCTTTCCTTCTCACTCTGGCTGGCTGGGTGGCTAGGAGGCTAGCCCCTCCTGTCCGCCTCTACTTCTTTTCTCACTCCTCCCCTCCTCCCTTCTTCCTTTCTATTTATTCTCTCTGCCTGGCAGCCCCGCCTATTTTTCCTCTCCTACCTAGCTACTGGCTGTTCAGCTTTTTATCAGACCAATCAGGTATTTTAGACAGGCAAAGTAGCACAGCTTCACAGAGTCAAACAAATGCAACCTAAGAGTTAAACAAATGCCATGTAAAAGAATCCAACACATCCTAGTATCATGAAACAAATATTCCACGGCATCAACAAATGCATCAGATCTTCAACTAATATTTCACAACAAGCTGGTGTGAGGAACTTAGTGAGTCTTGGTTGTTCTGGTTCTCTATGACCCTGTCCTCAGAGATGGAAACTCCCTGACCTGAAGGTATAAGGTGGACACCTCTCAAATGCGGGTTTCACAACCTGAATAAGAGAACACTAAGGGGTTGTGAGAGCACCTGTCCTGCTTTTTCCTTTTCTTTTCCTTCCTTTGTTTTGTTCTGTTTTGTTTTGTTTTTCAAGGCTGGGTTTCTCTGTGAAGAGCTATAGTAGCTGTCTTAGAACTCATTCTGCAGACCAGGCTGGCCTGGAACTCCGGGATCCATCTGCCTCTGCTTCCTGAGTGCACCAGCACTGCCCAGCCTTGCTATTATGCTGGCCCTTCTGAAATGCTGCTGTATTCTTAAATGCCGAGGTGCCATTTGGGGACAACATCCTCAACCCCATCAGCTCTCTGACATCTGTCTCCAGAATATTACTCCTATCTTCACTGCGGATCCGCTGAGACAAGCAGTTCCCTTCCAGATGTTGAGAATGCCCAGGGAATGTGTAGTAGGACCACACCCAGCACTCCATCTGCAAGGCATACAAGATAAGGGATAGCAACTACCACACAAATTTGAGGAGCATCAATGCCGAATAGTTAACTGGCTGGTGTGGGCCACATATTTATGGAACTATGTTCCATTCCACACCTAGTTCCCTCCAAAGTCAGGAGAGAGGGTGTAACTGGAGGTTTCTCTCCCACTCACCAGTTCCTGAATATCCATTCAGAGGCTTAATATTAATTACAATTGTTTGGCTGATGGCTCAGGCTTATTACTAACTAGCTTTTACATCTTAAATTAACCCATTTCTGTTAATCTATGTATTGCCACATGGCTGTGGTATTATGTGGCCCTGGCATTCATTACTTCACATCTTGGTTTTCCTGTGGCTGCTGGCATCTTCCAGACTCTGCCTTCTTTTTCCCTTTATCTTTGCTTGGATTTCCCACCTGGCTCTATTCTGTCTGGCTATTGGCCAAATTAGTTTCTTATTAACCAATGGCAATAAAACATATTAACAGCATACAGAAAGGTATTCCATATCAGGGGGGAATATCTATTCAAATCTTTCCTCATCCTAAAAATCCCAACCATGCTGGATGGTGGTGGCACATGCCTTTAATCCCAGAACTCAAGAGGCAGAGGTAGGTGGATTTCTGTGGGTTTAAGGCCAGCCTGGTTTACAAGAGCTAGTTCTAGGACAGGGTCCAAAGCTACAGAGAAACCCAGTATTGAAAAATAAAAAACAAGCAAACAAAAAATACGAACCATATTTTAGAAAATGATTAAACTAATTCTATGAAAAGCTAGGTTTCTAAGATAAATTGCTTATAGTCAAAAACAACTTGAAGTTAAAGCATGAATGGTTATCAATAGGAGCACATTCAATGAAATGACTAATGTAATAAATACTAATTAGTGAGTATAGTAATTCACTTAAGAAAGTTTGTGAGCCTGTCATTACCGGATATACCTCTCTAATGAACTATTGTTGCTCTTTTAAGGAATGATTTTCTACACGTACTGAGAAACTGGGAAACAAGTGAAAAAACATAGGATGTCCTGCTATGCATCCCACACACTTCATGGTTTTGAACATGAACCATGTGTTCAACAAACACATACAACGTGTCCACTGTCCAGGCATGCTATATTTCAGGAACACCTGCTTCTAAGCATCCACAGAGGAAGAGTTCTCATCAAACTGTGTTTAATACTCTTTGGCTTTTTAAGACACACCCAATACATGTACCATTGTTTTCTACTTACATGGCTTATTTTAACATATAAATAATAAAGCGATATAATAATCTGGTATGAAATCCTCAAGAAAAACATAAAGTTCCTCTGTCAGGGGACAGTGTACAGAGACACTCAGAAAGGACCAGTCTAGACTGCTCTACAGTACAACTTCCAACAAAAGCCAGGTTGATGGATTGGTTACAGAAATCTTTATTATAGACCAGGAAGGTTAGAGAATACTAGAACCCTCAAATATCCTGGGCTCAGGAAAACCTGGAGGGATTCTACCAAGAGCCCTACGGTGCTTGTGAGGTTGTCTAAAAGGAAAAAAAGCACAGCAGTACGCAGAGGGGAGCCTGTGTGTGCTGAAGTCTGTGTGTGCTGAAGCCTGTGTGTGCTGGGGCCTGTGTGTGCTGGGGCCTGTGTGTGCTGGGGCCTGTGTGTGCTGGGGCCTGTGTGTGCTGGAGCCTGTGTGTGCTGGAGCCTGTGTGTGCTGAAGCCTGTGTATGCTGGAGCCTGTGTGTGCTGGAGCCTGTGTGTGCTGGAGCCTGTGGGTGCTGGTGCCTGTGGGTGCTGGAGCCTGTGGGTGCTGGAGCCTGTGGGTGCTGGAGCCTGTGGATGTGACCATGTGTAAGTCAGAACCCTGCATGCTGCATGTGGGTGTGGAGGTACAATCACTGTCGTTTAAGACTAAGTCAGAAAATGAATCTTTGGAAAGACAGCACAGAAAATGAAGAGAGAGAAAGAGAGAGAGAGAGAGAGAGAGAGAGAGAGAGAGAGAGAGAGAGAGAGAGAAGAGCTCCCATGAGTCACCTCTGGCCATGTCCTCTAAATTGCCAAGGAGACACACACACACACACACACACACACACATACACACACACTCTTTCTCTCTCTCCCTCTAATGGCTTCTGAGCTTCATCTTATCCTTTCAACTAGAAAAACAAAATGGTTCCCCTTATATCCCGAGAGACTTCGGTATCTCTTTTTTTTTTCTTTTTGCCTCGCTCATCCCAGGTTCATGTCTTTGGCATTCAGTTCCATAGTAGCGGTGAAACAGAAATACACATGGATCCAGAGCTCAGGCAATACATGGAAAGGAAGGCTCAGAGACAAAGACAATGTGTGGTGGCTTCGTGCCTGGCCTCAAACCGTCACAAGGGCACAGGGGACTCCTCAGGTGGGCAGTGCCACAGCCCTTTCCATATTCCTAGTATTCTAACATGGGTTTCTTGTTTTCAAATGTAGTATTGTATTCATTTTTAAAAAATATTTATTTGCTTTTATTTTGTATGTATGACTGCTTTGCCTGAATGTCTGTTTGTCCATGCAACACGTGTATACCTGGGGTCCAGGCAGGAAGTCGTGAGCCACTGTATGTGGGTGCTCAGAACCAAACTTGAGTCCTCCGTAAGAGCACCACCGGTGCTCTCTCCAGCAGCCCAGACATTTAGTAGTTTATTAAAGGAACAATTTAAAACACAAGTTTAAAGCTGTGTTTCTTTGAAATACTTCGTTGATAACTTGAGTTAGATTTATTTTGTCTTTTATGCCAGCTTTTAGTTACTTAAGATATATTTTTGCTTAAAAAAAATAAAACCCACAGGCAAAAACAAAACAAAACCCCAAAAGTTAACAAATAATGAGTATGCCCTTGGGTCCATCCAAATCCATCTTTTCTCTTTGGTTGAGCTCGATTTGCTGAGCTCACTTCACACCTTTTCCTGTGTGTTTGCGACCATGCTGCTCCCACAGGAAACAAGCAGCACCGTGTGTGCGGACAGAGCTGTCCAATGCTGTCGGCATCTCTTAGCGGCTGG